CAATCGCACCTCCGGGGGCAGAATGTTCCAAAGAACAGGGGCTACCGCAGAGAAGCTTTCTTAGAAAAAGGCAGAATGTTTTAAATTTATTCTGGTTTTGGAAACAGGCCCTAATGTTTTACTTACTGTTAGCTGTTCTGAAATTGATATGTTTGTTTTTAATGATTATTTGATTGATATCTTATATTCATTATTCTCTATGCTGCAAGATAGCTGAAAGATGAGAATTTGCTCATTTCTCCAGTATAAAAACTTATTCCTATTGGTCTGTGTTTTTTAACCCTATTACAATCCATGTCAGCATCTGTCTTTTTATCTCTTGACTGCTGGGTTTGCTGAAGACCCTTACATAAGGGACTTGGTCAAAGAATTTTTAAAAGTCCAGATACTGTATACAGGAGATCTTTCTGTGGACTCTCAGGATTTGATAGAAAACTTAAGAGTGCAACATCTCTTCAGATTTTTTTCTTTTTTCTTTTCTTTATATATTTATTTATTGGATTTAAAGAGTAGCCCAACTTCATGAGACTCTGGATGGCACCATAAAACTCTTTATTAATCAGATAGCATCTGATTTCAGTTTCCATCCAAGCTTTGCAAACATAATTTACAACCAGAATACTACATGCCACTGCTCCATTCTCCCTTTGTCCAATATGTATAATAAGATAATAGTAATATAATTATATAAGGATAGCTGCTTGAGATTTTAAGCTTTAGTGGAAGTTAACTTTTTTTCTCTGTTGAACTGTGCAGCCAAAAGCTTCTCTAAGCATATTTATGTTCACAAAATATACTTTTAGCTTAATAAATATATATCCCTCTATGTTTCTAAATAGCTATTACAATCTAGAATTAAGAAAGGAATTAAAGATAAAGTACTGGCTAGCAATTTCTCTCTGCCAGTCAGCCTGGCTCCTGGTTTTTCCCTGGCTAATGACATGTCTTATCTTCCGTCATGTCTGACCTCAGAGGTTGTCTGTGAAGGGTAGATCAGATCCTTCAATGCCTCTTCTTCATCTTTGGCACACTTCTCCAGACTGTGACCGCCTCTGCTACAGGAGATTTCAAACTTCCAAGAAACTCTAAGGATCTGCCACTTGGAAATATGGTTTCTTTTGCTAATATTTTGAAAATTCCTGCGCTTTCCATTCTTCTTCCAGATCTTGTTCCTTTTTTGCCCATCAGTAGTATTAAAATATCTTTTCTGAAAGTTTTGCCTGCTGTGGGCTTAATCAGTTGGTGCAATATCTTTGTTGTGTTACATCATGAGTACATACATTCGCAGAGGTAACTGTCAACTCAGTAACCCCAACCCTGACCCATTTGGTGGGGAAAAGAAGTGTGAGACAGTGTAAAATAAGTAGACGTAATCAATTAGTGCAGTGTTTCTCAGCCTTGGCAGCTTGAAGATGTGTGGACTTCAAATAAATCTTGACTGCTGGCAACTACATGGACAAATCCATGCAATTTCCTTGGCAA